AATTTACGAAAAACAGATTTTTCACATTTAATTTTATGATTTATGAATTAACTACGATCAGGTGCGTAATTATGCTCGCAGTAATCCTCCCCTTTTTGCCTTCTCTTTAAATTAATGCAAGCTCGATTTGTCCTCCATCTACTCTGGCCCTCCTCGCGGTGGAGAAACCGTACTGGATGTTCGTGCGCGCTGTCTCCCGGGTAAATTTACATTCCCGCGCTGGGGGGTGCTTGACCGGGCGTTTCTTGGGGAAAATAAAAATCGGTCTCAAGTATGGATGGCGGATCGGCGGAGCGTGACCACCTGTTCCCCCTTGGTGTTTCATTGTTGCCCGTAGCTGGCCGCGGCTCTTCGTGTTTCACGATGTTTCGCCGGATACCGTGCACACGGCTGTACGCTCCACTAACTGCGACGTCCGTCGCGATGTCTTTGCGCTTCGTGACCGCAGAGTGGGCGCTAGGGCAAAGGAAAACCAGTTCGGGCCAACGGTGCTAACGGGGATTTTTTGCAACTAATATTTGTAAGATAAAGACCCCTCGGATATCGCGAGAACTGCACGAGTGCCCGGCTTCCTGGCATTAATTCTAGCTGTTCCATTAAATGTACGATAATTTAAACTCGGCTATAAAACAAAGTTGCGGAAGATGTTTTGCCGCAAGCAATAAATAACGTAATACTAAGTGCTGTGAGCAATAAAACTTACTTAACGAGAGACACGACTCTCAAACTTACTTGTTAATCAATTAACTGTAATTAAGTGTGCAGCATTTTGATCGTTAGACTCACTGAATGTGCACTTAATGCTAGGTACGATAGATTCGCTCTCATCGGAAAATTCTTGTTTGCGGCTAAGCGATTGGTAACAGATCGGTGTCGACATCTAATTAATTAAATTTTGTGTACGCAAAATATCAAACACAAATAAGTGACTATTAGGAATACTCTTAAAAGTCGCCAGCAGTAATTAACAACATCAATGATTTTTATTGACCGTATCTGGCAATTAAAATTCTTATTGCGAAAAATATTACCCCAACCAGGATTCGAACCTGCACGGAAAGAACAATGTAGCTGCTGTAGCTAAAACTTAGCAAAATAGGGACAGCAAACCGTTTGCTGTCGCACCTAATACAATAGGCACAGTAGCAAAATATTGAGCTATCACAACTAAAATATTAGCTGTCCCTATTTTGCTAAGTTTTAGCTACAGCAGCTACATTGTTTTTTCCGTGTGGGACCTCCCTCAATCCGTCTTACCAGCTCGACCACTGGGGCTGTGTGCTGGGGGGAATACAGCCCCAGTGGTCGAGCTGGTAAGACGCCCGTCACAGATTGAGGGAGGTCCCAGGTTCGAATCCTGGTTGGGGTAATATTTTTCGCAATAAGAATTTTAATTTCCAGATACGGTCAATAAAAATCATTGCTGTTGACAAATAAGTGACTTATTTTAAATATTACACATAAGTCATATTTAAATAAATTATTTTATTATTTATTTCACTTGTGCAAAATAGCGATTCTCAGAGCCTTATGAATCATAAGGCTCTGACGTGAAATCACAATTCAAAGGAATAAAGGATATACGAGCCAAGACAGGATGCTAGTGTCTAAGTGATTTTAATTTGTAAATTTATTGCGAAAAATTTATCCCGGCCAGGGTTTGAATAAATTATATTATTTTTTGATAATTGTGACTTGGAAATGGTATACCTTCACGTTCACTTTTTAATTATGACCGTTATAATTTCTAATTAAAAAGAAGAAATATGTTCTAAAAGATATTATATTCGCAAGTTACTGAAACTGAGTTTTCCTGAAACCTTGCTTCGCGATTGGCACATCGCGAGAAACTTTTGATGGGGAAAAGCAGACAAAGCAGGCGCGTGTTTAATGTCGTATAAAATTACACGCTCCGCAGCGTTCGATTGCAAACGCGATCCGCGTTAAAGCAGAGTGTAACCTATATAAAAATTTAATACATTCTATATCCAATCAGCTACCAAGATATTTGTATACCAGCACGTATTATCTACTTAATCACTTTCGGTTATATTTCCGTGCGATTTTAATACCATCCTGTATCATAGAATACGAAAGATTGAATATGCTATCATACTAGAGAGAAAGAAAACTGTTAGGTAAGCAAATTGTAGTGAAAATTATAATTTCACTCGATCTTCCTTTGGATTTCGCTTAAATATAAATAATTCAAGTTAATTAAGAAATGTTGAAGGAAGTGTGCACGCATCTTCGTTTTCGAGACTTGAATTGTTCTACAGAATTTTAATAGAGCTATTTCCTGGAACAATTTCCTGGAACAATTTCCTGCGTATAAGACGGAAAAAGTTGATAGTCATTTTAATCCCATAAAAAAATTGTGAAACAAATATATTTATCTCGGTTATAAAATTGCGTGTACAAACCGAAAAACGTGAAATAAACGCGCGAGTAAACCGTGCAGTTGTTAATTTCACATCGCATAATCCAATTACAGGAAATCTCGGAATAAAATATTTTTTTACAATCCCCATTTACAAAAAAAAAACAATTATGAGCAACACGAGACAGAAAAATGCACGGCTTGCTAATTAGCATGCATTAATAAATCCATCGAATATATTATTCCCTTATTGCATAAACAATGTACATCGTATATCGATTGATACAAATTAGTCGGCGCGCAGTTCTATTTCGATTTCAGTCACGATATGTGACATTCGTGAAATACCGTTAGACTGTTTATTGCGATAAATATTACCACATTGCCTCGGTGGTCGAATTGGTGAGACGCCCGCCTAGTGAGAGGGAGGTCCAGGTTCAAACCCTGGCTAAGTTAAATTTTTCGCAATAAATATAAAAAATGAAATTCATTTTAACACTAAAGCCAACGGCGTACGACACTACTTTTCCTACTGGATCGCTTACGAGAACCAATCAGGATTTAGCTTTAACCCAGATAGCACATATAGTTCTATGAATATTCTTCTGGAGTGCAAGTATTCTTAATTTCAAAATATTCCAATCGAATATTCTATAAATATATATAGATTATTACAATTAGAAATCGTATATTCGTAACAAAGAAGAACGTTTCTAGAATATTCGTCGGGGGTGTCTTTGGAATATTCGTGCAGAATAATTTTTTAACATTCATCGAGTTTATGTATTGCACATTGTCTATTGTGTAATACACTTATCTTACGCAAAAGGCAGTGAAACCTGTGATCATACCATATATAACCGTCACGCTATATTCGATAGATTATTCTATCCACATTTAAAAAAGATTTATATAATAGTAGTGCCAGTCGAATGTTCTACGAACATAAGATAAATATACATATAAGAATGGCCTATGGAATATTCCTAATATTCTTGAAAAATATTCTTAAAATGTTCATAGGAGTGTCTTGTGCTATCTGGGAAGTTACTTGATCTAAACTCTGCGTCCTTATTGATTCTCGTAAGCAATCCAGTAGGACAAATAGTGTGCTTAGCATCCTGCCTTGGCTCTTATATTCTTTATTTCTTCGAGATGTGATTTCACGTCAGAGCCTTATGAATTTTATCGATTAATACGTCACCGCGAGCGTTCAGTCGCAGTTGGAGTCGACGCAGGACCATTTTGATTAGGGCTGTAACGATGCGCTACGCGATGCACCGGTGAACCAGAAGCACGCGGCGGGAGTGGCCGGCTAGTGTTGTCAATCGAATTCAACGTGATGCAACGTGAATGTCAACCGATGACGGAATGACACTCGGATATCGATTCGCTCGCTTCACGGTCGGCCTCCATTGTTTCGCCGTGCGCGGCCCCGGCATTTGTGCTGCCAGTCGCGACGAATTTGCATTAATGAGCGATTATGCGTGCACTGCATTTTATGAATATGGTTATGCGGAAACGTTTGATCGATTCATCCGCAGACGCGCGTCGAAATTGTAAGTGTTACGCGAGCTGAAAAAAATTGAACGCAGATACCACTCAGTCGATTTCCTTATAACAATGTAAATGATTAATGTGTCAAGGATAAGAGAAGCTCGGTGTCGTATTTATAGAATGTTAATTATCCTTGCAAAGTAATTTCGATGTGTATTAGCTACCCGACAGATCGAGCAATATTAATGAATGTTAAATAATTTTTAATTAGCAATAAATATTTAATTCAATAGTACACTTGATCAGCGATAAAAAAATAATCAATATCTTCCTGTGAAAAAAATTCCGACATGTTTATCGCACTTTTTCCCAATTACCTTTCTTGTTTAATTCAAGAAAAAATTTTATATTTTTCAAAGCGGATAATAATAATGAGACTTGTTTTATTTGTAAAGTTTGTTGTAATTTCCGACGTTTTTTTCTTGAGTTTCCGTCCTTAGATCAATCAAGTTTGGGGAACTTTTTCATTAAACGCCAAAAGAACTTTCCTCCGATTGGGAGCAGAAGCCGAATGCTCCTATATCGACCGTACTTCAGGCGAGGAAACGGCAATCGTTCGCTATTTTCCGGTTCGTTTGGTAACGCCACGCCAGGGAAACACATTACGTCACTCTCTAAAACGTTGTAATGATTATCCCCTTTATTGGCTGAAACGTCGAAGAAGCGCGCCCACCGCCTTCGTGTTTGTTCTCGACTGCCGCGGCGCACTGTTCCCGTTCCAGCTGCTAAATCCACGTTAAAGTTAGCCGAGCGGCAACGCTCGATCGCGAGTACGAGTGGCCGGTTAACTGCTCCAAAAGTTTCCGATTGTATACCACGTTTGAACAGGTGTCCTAAGCTTATGAAAGTCGATCGCGATGCCCCGTCTCTTTTCATCGAACAACAGCACTTGTACGTAGTTCAAGAAACGCTTCGCGTTTCTATCGAAAGGTCCGTAATTTTTAAAACTCGCTTCATCAATGTATCGAACTTGGCTGACTTCGAATAATGAGATTGCGATACAAAATATTAATAACTTTGATGAATAAATATTTCTGACCAGTCAAAATGCGTGAATCGAGGTACAGCCTAATATTGTGCAATATTTTACACGGAAAAACATGTTGTTGAATTAGAATGAAACAACGTTGTTTGAATTAAACATTGATGTCACGAGCTGCCACAAACATAAATCAATATTTGCTATGGATTTTAATTTTAAGCGTATCGATAGTTCTGTGCACTGCCGACAACTCGACGCGCAGTTTAAAGTCGAAAAATTGACGCGAAAATATCAGCATTAGACTGTTTACTGCGACATACATTACCACGTGCCTCAGTGGTCGAATTGGTGAGATGCCCGCCTACAGTGTAGGGAGGTCCAGGTTCAAACCCTGGCTGAGGTAACATCTTGTCGCAATAAATTTCTTTAATTAGAATTTGCCAGTTGTGTCGATTATTAATTTCCTACGTTGGTTAATTATTTACTGACGACAAGAAGTCTTTATTCTTGTTTAATTTTAAGCATTGAACTAAATATCTAAATTATTAAGACAACTATCTCACGTTTTTCATTAATACTGAAGTTGTTCCAACCATTCTATTCCGTGTATGTGCGCATCAAGTGTGAAAAAGTAAAAAGCGGAATCGCAATTTCCACGAATCTATTTAAGCGAAATGTTATCGGGATAATTGGATTTGGTGCTGAAAGCTAATTAATCCTTTATAGTTCTGTGGAATAATAGTTTCGCTGCATGCAGCCAATCGCAAATGACTGTTTGAATTGCGGTCTTAAACATCCATGCGAAATATTCATTGCTGAATTACGATTAAAGATACATTCATGGTCGCGACGGATGCTATCGCGTTATCAGATAATTACTGATATCGCGGGAACGTACTGCGCACGTGGCCTGATTTCTCCCGAATATGTCTTGGTTGTTCTAGTTTTTTTTTTAAACATCGTCCTGTTTGTCCGGTGCTTTTGTTGCCGAGGGCTCTAAGCGGATTGAATCATTTCGTAGACCCATCACGCCACGACGAGCCTTGCTTCAACGGTAGCATCGTGCGTAGATACGAGTATGAGTAACAGTGCGAATACGAGTGCCCAATTATCCAATAACGAATCACGGCCTTGTCTTGCGTTGCCGAACAATGACGTCCCATTATGCTCTCTTAGTTTGTTTGCTGTCGGTTGGGTACTGTTGCGCGAGAATGTTTGCTTCGGACACACTTGGGAAATACATCAAATCTTTTATGCAAATCGCACACAGAGAGAGAGAGAGAGAGAGAGAGAGAGAGAGAGAGAGAGAGAGAGAGAGAGAGAGAGAGAGAGATGTGCAGAATGTATCTCAGTTTCATATTAGTCTGCTCGTTCGTCTCTGATTGTGAGACAGCAATTGAAACTAATGTGGACAGTTTAAATATAAAACTTTCGATTCTGTACGCACATT